ACTCGTACTAGTCGTAGAATTAAAAAAATATCGACTGCTACAATCAGCCGACGTCTTCTCGGTCAGAGGTCAGTTGAAGAGACGCTGTGATTGGCTCATATGATTGTCAATTAGAACACTCATTAACATAATTACCCGTTGAAAAATTTACGGGTTCCTACAGTGTCGATAGAGGGCCATGCAGAATAAACCAGTCGGGGTGATTTCGCAGTTGCAAGGGATTTTGCGCTAACACCTCCATTTCGCAATTTATTTAATTTTATTTAAACTACAAAAACTGGCCCCGACTGCGCCAGTCTAGGAAGGGGGGTAAAAAAAGTTATATAACATTTTATTATTTAATAATTAAATACATAAGTTTGTCCAACTCCCTGTGTACATACATTAGACATTACAGGTTCCTGATGCACGTTATTTTATTTTTTAGATCGGATTCAGAATGGCTAACTAGTGGCCATTTTGTTTTAATGAATGGGCTTCTAGAGCCATATCTCTGACATGCTTTGACTGACTATGTTCAAATGTTATATATTCGTTATACATGTATTCAAAATGGCTGATTTTGTTTTAATTAATGCTGTTCCAGAGCAATATAATCTCAATACTCGTTTGACGATCAGATACAAATGTCAGTCATTTAAATGTTAAACAATCATCATAATCATATTCCTGACATGGTTATATTCCAGCTATATTACTATAAACAAAACTATATATCTGAAATTATTTTTTTTTCTTTATTCTCAGGTGACAAAGAATGTGGTGCTAAAGTAAAAGAAGGAAACTCTGACAATAATGTATCACAGGACAGTTCACAATCTGTCTATCATGTGAAATGGATTAAATTTAAAGATGGAACAATGCCAATTGTTACACAGAATGAAAACGGACCTTGCCCACTTCTTGCAATAATTAATGTTCTTATCTTAAAGGGTCAAATAGTTTTACCCGATTTAGTGGAAATCGTCACTTCTGGTCAGTTGATGGAATACTTAGGAGACTGTATGTTAGCCCAAACTCCAAAGGTAATGTGAAATTGTTGCTTCACTTTCATGGCATTTCTGTCAATTCAGAAAGCATAGGACACCCAGGGTTCAAGATTTGATACAGAGTACCTTTTAATAAATCTGCAAAAAATTATATCAAAACTACCAGTAATCTACCTCAAATTCATTCTGCTAAGAAATACAACAACACAGTGACATTGTAATAAAACTACTCTCAATATTTTTTCTTTCAACTTTCACCTCCTTTGCTCATGGAAATGTTTGGCTGAGAGGTCAATATCATACCGTTGTCTGTATGTATGGATGAATCAAATCTTGTTTATCCAATATCTCAAGAACTACAGCTAGATACAAACTGTAGCTGTATTAATATATAACAATACCGGTATATATACATATAACATTGCTGCTTATTATAAGAATAAATTTCTCTTTATCAGATGATATTGTTTATAAACATGCAATTTGTTCGCCCAGACACAGCGACACGTCACATGTTAATAATAGTAAAATTGATTTAGTCACCAAGTGAACCAAAACAATTATTTTTGAATCCAGATAAGTCATTCTGTCACTGATAATGTGCACTACTCTGGAAAACAAGATCAGATAGTTTCTCGGTTTCTTGGTAGAAAAAGTTTGTTTGAAATTTCAAAATTGCCTATTTGACTATACATGATGTACACGATTCAGGGTAAATGGTTTGACATCCTAAAATTCCAGAAACAAGACGAATTATCAGCATCTCATAGAAAAATATATGGAATTCCTAAAAAGTAGCAAGCCTTGCATGACTGTTATCAAAGTGAGATCCTGACTTTAAGATGAAATTTGCAAATTATAAGCAGTTCACAAAAAGATCTAGCAGAAAAAAATAAAATAATAGCTTACAGCTCAGTCATCCATTTTGTGTTGAAATATAGTTTAGAAGTCATAAAGAAAATTTCCAAATGTGTCATTACTATTTTTGTTCCACATACCACACATAATCCATTACGAAATGGATGTATGTGTATACACAATAAGAGCATGACCATGATTAGATAGGGTTTGTTGTTTGAACCTTGTTGTACATTGATTCCTGGTCGGTTGGTATCAGGCCATTTGGTGCAAACTAACCTTGAATTGGGCAATCAACTTTCGGACGAGTCAACTTGTGGGACGAAATGACTTTTCAACAAATAAACTTGCGGGACAAATCGACTTCATGCGAATCTACCTGTGAACAAAATTGACAGTTATTACAGTTACAATATAGTTGCATCTTCCAACCCTATGCTATACGTGGTATGCCCCTGTCTAGACACTCTCTACAGAGTGAAACATGAAAAAACGCTGGGAACGAGTGTGTTTCATGCAAGTTCCGTGGCGTTTTGTGTATGAATTGGTGAACACAGCAGCATTGAATAACAGACTGGACCTGCTGTGTTGCAACTCTATTGGCAAAATGGTGAAAGTGCAGAGGGTGTTTAATTCTGTACTGGCTGGAAAACAAACAAAGATAACCTGCTATTGGTCACTCGACAATAACTTGTCTTCGTTTTTGACTTCAGATTTCAATGAAACTTGGTACATGGATGCCACATAATTTCTGCCATACAATTGTGTACATTAATATGTCATGATATGCATTTATTTTGTTTATATATGCTTGTTCTTGTCCCCCTCTCAGATAATGATATGGTTCATATCACACACACACCAAAACAATTTGTTCCAAGCATACATGTACACATGTTTATAAACAGCAGTGTAGCTAGCAGTTATGTCTATTGCACCCTTCTTGACAAATTCACTCAGACGCCAACTATGCCTGACACATGTGCATGACCATGTGCATTCAAAATTATTTTACTGTTGGACTTCATGGAAGTCGAAGTCGAATATAGGTTGTGTATGATGTCACCAAAAGCAAAATTACTCATAGCAGAGGTTTGATTTTCTCCTTCACTTTGAGTTTGTCATTTCGCACTCTCACTTACTGGTGTTGTCAGGGTTGTAATTTCATTGTTCACCTAGAGATTTGATTTTTTTATTTTTCATGTGTTCCTAATCATTTCTGAGACCTACTTTGACAGATTTTTCAAAGAAGGTTCCAAGACAAGATACACTATTGACAAAACTAGATATTCACTAGATATTTAAAAAGTACCAACAGGGACTGTGTCATTTTCACATTAAATAGTAAACAAAAGCAGTCCGAAAACTTATGGATTAACCTCTGTGCATCCGTGTGTTCTTAGACATGCCTCGACCAATTACATTCAAACTTCACAGATACATCATACATAATATTATACATATGCACATCAATTTGTTTCACGATCTGATTCAAAATGGCTGTTTACAGATAGATTTTGTTCAAACTTGGTATAGACATTATGGGACCTTGATGCAAATCATTTTGTTTTTCAGATAAGATTCCAAATGGCCGACTGGCAGCCATTATGTTTTAATGAATGTGGTTCTCGTGCCATATGTTCAAATTTATGTGGTTCTCGTGCCACATGTTCAAATTTTAACTATTCATTATACATCATGTCATAGATATACATACATATTGGTTTGAGGATTCTATTCAAAATGGTCGAATGGTGGCCCTTTTTTGTGTGAAAAATTCATCAAGTATCAAGCATTTCTGGATGGATTTCGTTCAAACCTGGTACATCCATTAGACATTACGGGTTCCTGATGCACGTCATTTTATTTTTCAGATCAGATTCAAAATGGCTGACTGCTGGCCATTTTGTTTTAATGAATGGGCTTCTAGAGCCATATTTCTGACTTGCTTTGACTGATTATGTTCAAATTTTATATATTCATTATACATCATGTTATAAATATATACATGTATTCAAAATGGCTGATTTTGTTTTAATTAATGCTGTTCCAGAGCAATATCTCCCAATATGGACAAGTATAGTTTGATGATCAGATACAAATGTCAATCATTTTAATGTTAAACAATCATCATAATCATATTCCTGACATGCTTATATTCCTGCTATATTACTATATACAAAACTAGATATCTTAAATTCGCCAACTAACGGGGACTGTGCCATGCATGGCTTGTTTATATATGTTCATTGTTTGATGGGCAATAGCCTGTCCATGTATAATCAAGATCTGAGTATGGCAGAAATGCTTGATTTTGATTTTTTTTACATTAAAATGTAAAATGGCCTTTCAAACAAATATATGTACATACTGTAGAATGCTTTATTTTCGCTTGGCATTTATTTTCGCTATTTTCGCTGAAGGGATGATTCTGTGAAAACAAAATCCAGCGAATATACTTATCAATTTTATCAGTGAAAATAAATTCCATACAAAATGCCCAAAAAACTTTTTCAGCGAAAATTAATTCCAGTGAAAATAAAGTATTCCACAGTATGTACAACATAAGGTATGATGTATCTATATAGTTTGAACACAAGGCATGGAAGAGATTTGTTAAAGAAAAATGGTCACTAGTTGGCCATTTTGAAAGCAATATTTTCGAACAAAATCTATCCATACACAACCAAGATTCAGAATGACAGAAATGCTTGATTTTGATGAATTGTAAGCATAAAAATGACCACCATCTGGCCATCTTAAATCAGATCATGAAGCAAATAGATGAGCTATGTATCCTAAGATGTATGTTTGAATATGATTGGCCCAGGCATGTCCAAGATAGAAGTGAAGAGACACGCACAGAGGTCAATCCATTAGTCCCAGTTTTCAGTATTAGTTAAGTTACAACTTAAGCCAAAATGAAAACATATATGAATACATTTTTAGCTCCACCTGTCATCATACGTAGTCCATCAACTTTTTTCATCCAAAGGACTTTTTCTTCAAAACCGTAGGCTGGATTGTTATGCTCTCTATTTTTTGGGAATATTGTTGGCGTAAATTACACTCAGACTTGTTATTTTCATGGCACTATGTGCAAGTGTCTATTTTTAGTGCATTTTAAAAAAAAATGTTGTGCATTTTCGACTTCTGCCACATTGCTTTGAAATTCATAATGTGAACACATGAACTGGTCCTCTCTCAAGTTTGTTCATTTGGTGACGATATCTTCATTTTTGTGGAAGTTATGATTTGTTTGTATTTTGTCCGCGTTCCCTTTTGTTATATATGGGCTATGTATAATGCATGGAATCCAGTAGACAACTGTATCAGTTGGGAGCTAGGCTTTCTTAGTACACATTGTCTTGGAAAATGAACCGGATGGGCCAATGTTTCCCAAAAATGCTCAAGTTCAGGTCAAGGTCAAGGTTTATACGTTTGCTGCTTTTATATGGGGAACTGTCATAGATTCCACTTATCCTATCCACCTAGTAATTGCCACTGCCCTCTGCACTTTTTAATGACAGCAGAGCTCTAACAACCGCAAGTATATCATGTTTTTATTCAATATCATTGTGATGCTGACTCTACCTTACCATATACACATTGTGATGCTGGCTCTACCTTACCACACACATTGTGATGCTGACTCCACTTTACCACACACATTGTGATACTGGCTCTACCTTACCATGCACATTGAGATGCTGGCTCTTTCTTACCACACACATTGTGATGCTGGCTCTACCTAACCACAAACCTTGGGATGCTAGCTCTACCTTACCACACACTGTGATGCTGGTTCTACCTTACCACACACATTGTGATGCTGGCTCTACCTTACCACACACATTGTGATGCTGGCTCTACCTAACCACAAACCTTGGGATGCT